CAGACCGGGGGGGCAGACAGATGTGGATTCGGTCACCCAGGAAGGATTGACCATAAAACCAATAGCAAGTGAGAGAAGAGAGAGCAGTAAGTAGTAGTCTGGAGAAAGAGAATGGGAGCAGCAGCGGAGGAGCTCGTGGCGGTGGGTGTCTTTTCGCCAAGCAGGATCCACCATCAAGAGAAAAAGTAGAACAATTCAATTGCTCTGTTCGTCTGGTGTATTCCAATCGATCAATGAAGGAAGGAATGTAAATCCTTCAAAATTCTTCCCTCTTTGCTTCTCCACGGTACCTGGTGCCTTAATTTGATCCTAACTCTCAGGAACGCGTGGATACCAGAAGGTTGGAAACTATCGAGACAAGCTAAACTTCGCCTTCGGGTGGAAAATCATGGCGGGATTCGATGATCGAGCATAGCATCTCCACCCCGAAACTTCCATCCACTAGACTAGACTACCAAAGACCAGCCAGATATTGTGGCGCAGGGCAACAAGAGGTTGGAATCAGGGGCCCCGCTTAGGAGAAAACCCTGGTGTGCCCGGCATCAACTTAACTGTCGAATTATTAGACTAGACGTCTTTCCATCCACTATGGGGGGAGGAGGCAATATTGTCGATGGGTCACAGCAAGAGGCAGAATAGAAACCAAAAGTTAGAAATCGGCCATCCGAATCAATTCTGCTGCAATCATCAGACGCCGGAACTTGCGGGTTGCAGATAGCCACGGCAGCGCCGCTGCACACGGCTTCCCTCCACGTTGTGCCATTCACAAGCATCCCAGGAAGAGTAAGACATCTTCATCTTGGACTTTGGACCGGAGTACTCCGGCCAATGTATTCCGTGATGGCCCTAGTCGTCGAGACCCGCTCATTCCGCCGCCGTTTTCGCGGCCACGGGGCGTCCCTCTGAGGAGAGAGAGGGATGTCCAAGAAGTGAAAGAATTGAAGCTTCCTTCCTTCCCTCCATCCTGTGTCACGACTCACCACTTTTGCTTCCTCGCCAGATTCTACGTCTAGGCCAGTATGGTTACCATCCTGCAAAGACAGGGCTGTGTCGCTGAGCTGTCGCATGCAGAGAGGGTGACCTGGAACCTCAACGCCCCTGTACTTACTTGCACGGCCCGGAAGGTCCAGACTCGGAGCGGATAGCCACAGCCATGGCAAGCGACAACTATTGATGGGTGACTGACTGGGCTTGTATGTAGGCGGGAGGAGTCCTTCTGCAAGAGCGCAACGGTTGTCAGGACCTTGCCAAACCCTAGATAATGACCACTCGTAGTCCGTAGCCATGTTGTCACTCGGCTGCCTGGTCCCCCGTCTCCAACACGCCCGCTTACTTACATATGATGTCTACATACATACCGACATGATTGTTCTCTGTGTTTCCCGCATGTTGTGACGTGACATTGTGCGAAAACAATCGCTTTCACAAGCCATCTGCCGTGCAGATGCGTGGGGGCTGCTTACAGCCAGAGCCTATAGTTGATCACTATGTGAGGAGCATTATAGCTTGGTCACCATTCCCGGACAGCGACCTGTCCATCCAGATAGACGTGGCCTGCTAGACCCGGATTGGTTCCGGACGTGCAGCATGCATGAGCCTGGCTCGGAGGCTAAGGAAGTATGTATGGTGTGCGTGGACGAGTGCGTGTGTGTAGAAGCGAGTTAACGGGTGGGCTATGTCACCGTGGCTTGAGACAAACATCTCGAAAGCCTCGCTCACAGGCCAGGTAGGTATATAACCTTCGTACTCATCTACCAAACGGAGAGAAGACCACTGCCGAGCACCTTCTGCTTTTTCCAGGGCTCGCGGGGGAAGCAATATGTGAATACCCTTGGACTGAGCAACGGACACTGTGATACAAGTGTGTGCGATGCCACCTTTCCCTCGATGATCGTGCCGCCTCGATCCCTCGGACGAATCCTGCCGGTATCCTGCCTGACATGGCCGAGAGACATCCAAGAACCCTAAGGCACCTCCATCCACAAAAGGAAGATGGTGGGCAAGCCTTTCCCAGACAAGGAGGGAAAAGAGAGCGGAGAAGGTGGACAGAGGGGAATAAGATACGGAGGTGGAAAAAGAAAACATTCAAGCAAAGGCGCAACCCGCAAGTGATGGATCTCAACCCCATCTTTCCCCCCTTGATCCTGTTTTCTGAGCTTAACCGAACCATCCCGAGCGCCAGAAGGCGTGGATCGAAGGAAAGTCCGACCACGGCGATGGTCGAATATCAATTATCAATCACAGTGAGATCGACTAGGTCAAGATGACTTGTCAGTTGACTTAACGCAAACTAACCCATGCGACATGGTGGCTAAGTCTGCATGGTCAGCACCCGATTAGTTTGGCGCTTCCTCTGATATGCCGAGGATCGAGAGGAGGGATCGGGCCAAAGGGGCGCCGGCAGGAGGATGTATCCAGATGAATCAATTCCTCTCTTATCATCCCATCCCATCAGTGCGACTAGAGCGGCATCTGCAATCTGCACCGGCATCAGCAACCAAGAACTAAGATACCAGTCCGTCCGTCGAATACTCCATCGTCTCCTCATCCCACGCAACAACTCACATTTATTTAATCTTTTTATTATTATTTTGGTTCTCCCATTCTAGGTCCCGTCTCTTCTCGCTAAATCCCTCCTAATTCACTACCCCCCACGGCTAATAGGGAGAGGAGGGGAAGAGAAAAAAGAGGAGAGGAGAAAGATGAGGAGAAGATCCATACTGACCTGCAGCAGCCCAGTTGACGTGTTACATTCCTACTTGTAGCCTTGTACAGAGTAGATGGGCTAAAGGAGATGTTCGGTTGGCTGATTTCAACGAAACCAAGGCAGCACGGGAGACCCCCCAAGTCTCGCAATTCCTCATAGTCCGATGGGTCGACCACTGCACCAGGTCAACTTCGGCCAACTGCTCCAGCCACTGTTCATTCATCTCCAAGTGCAGCTTCCCTTTTGGATCGGTTGGCTCCCGCCTTGGGATGTGAGACGTAAACTTTTTCCCAGGACCCATGAATGGATTGCATCTACCATCCCACCCTGTTGCCCCCAGCAGTGTAGCATCCCTGTTAGAGGTCACGACAGGGTGGACTCGAGGCGATGGGCCGTCCAGATAGTAGCATCTGCGCGAGTCTTAACCATGGATTAGATAGATCTGCTGGGGTGGCACGGGAGTATCCGGCGGAGTTGCTCTGTGAATGGGTCGGGGAAATAGACAAAGCAAAGGGGGACGAGGGAAGTTGGAGGTGGTAAAAATAAGAAATATCCTACTGCAACTGGCCCAGTTACAAATTCCAGGAAAGGAATGAACTAAGGACTTAAAGAATTAATGGTATCATACAATCACAGGCAGACAGACTTGGCATCTTGACCTTGCTTTAGTGTACAAGTCTACGGTACAGTAGTTAACAGGTGTAACTTTGTGTCCTGTAGACAATTCTTTCTCTTTTTTTGTTCTGGATAACGCTTCATATAATTATCGTAACCGGCGTCATACAGGTCCACAAAGCAAGACAAGATGTCATCGCCACAGCGGAATTTTTCAACGCTTTTATTTTTCCGGCAGCCTACATCACTTACCATGCCACATTTACTGGAGGGCACGGCGGCGGTCACGCTCCTCGGCGATGGAGAGCTTGACACCCTTGCCCTTGGGCAGGGAGATCCAGGGCTTGTCCTGACCGATGACGAAGACGTTGGACTCACGGGTGGCGAAGGTGTTGTCAATAGCGTCCTTGATGTGGACGATGTTGAAACCACCATCGTGGCGCTCACGGTGGGTGACGACACCGACACGACCCATGTTACGACCACCGGTGGCCATGGCGACAACACCAGTGTCGAACTTGACGAAGTCGGCGATCTTGCCAGTGGCAATGTCGATCTTCACGGTGTCGTTAACCTTGATGGCGGGGTCGGGGTAACGGATGCTATAAGAAAAGCCCTTGTTAGCACACTTTGTTCTCACGTTGCGGCTCCTTACTGTGTTCCAGCAAAGAACTGCGATTCTAGTTCTGTCGTCCTCCGCCGATCAACCAAAGCTTGGTCCAACGACTGAATGACGCGGAACTTGTAGAGAGTATGCACTCACGTTCTCGCATCGTGCGTAACCAAGAATGGGATCCCGCCCTTGCCGAGCTGAACACGCTTGACCTTGCAGAGCTTGTACTCGGCCTCCTCAGCCTGGATGCGGTGGACGGTGAAGCGACCCTTGGTGTCGTAGATGAGACGGAAGTTCTCGCCGGTCTTCTCGATGCCGATGACGTCCATGAAACCAGCGGGGTAGGTAGGGTCGGTGCGGACCTTGCCGTCGACCTTGATCAGACGCTGCATCATGATCGCCTTGGTCTCACGGCCGTTAAGGGCGTACTTGAGACTATAAACCTGTCAGTCCACCAATTCCTCATATTCTCTTCGATTCTTTCGTAATCGCTGGATGGTCGTACCGGTTGCGGATGAAGACGATCAGGGGCAGGCAGTCCCGGAGCTTGTGAGGACCGGGGGAGGCCTTGGGGGCGTAGGTTCCGGACATCTTGTCCAGGAGCCAGTGAGAAGGCGCGCTAAGGCGCTTCTGGTGCTTCTTACTGTACGAACATGGTGGTTAGTATTCAACTCCTCAAAATCTTCAATTCTTCTGCCGTAGCGACGAAGAATCGGTGAAAACGCAATTCCACCGATAATCTCGCCTCGTGCAATAAGAACAGCGTAGGGCGTGTAACTCACGGTCCGCGAGGCATCTTGGCTGCTTTGTCGACTTGAACCGGTTAGTTGTCGAAGTGTCGCGAGGAAAAGAAGGAGACGGAACAAGGACTTCAGCAGCTGATATCCAGCCCATCTGCATTTTTCGCTTAGCGGCTGGTGCCAGCGGGGCTTAGCCCTAGCACTAGTACCGTTCTTTAGGCCAGTCCCACTAGTCCCGACCAGTACTAGCCTGATGGGTCACGCGAATTACATAATCAATACTGGGTCTAGGCTTCATTTAGTAGTATCCGGCTATTGTTCAATGCTTTTGGCTTTTAGTAGCTGAAATATCTAGAAACAAAAGGATATCTGACGCCGTCTAATCGCTATATGCCATAGATCTCTTCACATGTTTAGATGTAGCCCTTGATGACAGCAACCTCCGCGTTGAGGATGGACGATCCAGCTGCACCGATAACGGTGTTGTGCGAAAGAGCAGCGAAGCGGAGATCGAAATAGCCACCCTCATTGCCGTCGCGCACCCGTCCGACGCTAACGGTGTAGCCCTTGGAGATGTCCCGGTCCAGTCTAGGCTGGGGTCTGTCGGGCTCGTCGAACACCCGGATAGCCTGCGCGGGTGCAGAAGGAGCGCCCAGCTTCTGAGCCTCCGACTGGTACTCCCTCATGGCCTGGGCCACCTGCTCTGCGCTGGGAGCCGGGCGGTTTTTGAAGCGCAAGGAAACAAAAGCCATGTGACCGTCAGTGACTCCAACACGAGTGCAAGTGGCGCCAACACGGAGACCGGACTGTTCTTCGAAAGCAGTAGCATCGGCATTCAAGGAGCCCAAGATCTTCTGGGCTTCGTTCTCAAGCTTGTCTTCCTCACCGCTGATGAAGGGAATGACGTTGTCCAGGATGTCCATGCTGGGGACACCGGGGTAACCAGCTCCAGAGAGAGCCTGCTCGGTAAAGACTTCCACCTCCTCAACGGGTCCAAACTTGGCCTGCAGAGCAGCGAACGGGATGACAACACCAATGACAGCGCAGTTGGAGTTGCAAACCAAAAATCCCTTCTTCAGGCCGAAGTGTTTGCGCTGGTGAGGGATGAGGTCCAGGTGGTGGGGGTTGACAGTGGGGACGACGAGAGGGACGAGAGGGTGCTTGCGGTAGTTCTTCGCGTTCGAGAAGACGGGGATATCAGCCTTGATGAATTCCATCTCTGTAACAGTTGTGATCAGCAGGTAGTATTGTCGCCTGGGCAAAGAACCACGTACCAACATCACCCGCAATGTCGCTGTTGAGTCCAGAGAAGACGAGATCGCAGTCAGCGAACTGTTCAGCCTTGCAGTCACGAAGGACGAGTGTGCTAAGCTTCTCCGACATAGCCGTAGACTGCTTCCATCTCACGGCATCCTTGTATTGTTTGCCCGCAGAGCGCTCAGACGCACCGACGGCGTGCAGCTCCAGGAAAGGATGGTCGGCAAGCAGGAGGATAAAACGCTGGCCCACGGAGCCGGTGGCGCCCAAAACACCTGGATGTTATCAGTAACGCAGCCACAGACAACTCGCTCGTGTTGTTTATCCATACCGCACTTCTTCTTAGGATATGAGGCCATTTTGTTTGATATCGAGTAGGTCGCTCAGCGATTCTCGTGATCTGACAGTTGTCAATTACACGTCCTTGATAGGTAATGAGACAACGATGGATGATTTAAACAGAAGCATTGGCATAAAAATCTCAATTGGAACATGCTCACGGGGAGACATAGCCAACATCCGGTTACAGCGCCTTAACCGACGGAGCCCCGCAAGGGATGAAAGCACAGTTGTTGTATCTCCACGATCGGCATTTTTGAAGATTGTGACACGATAGACGAACAGGTAACTTTGCAATAGCCACAATGTGATTGAACTATGAGCAAATCGAGCAAATTGCACTCACCTCTTAGACAATGATGCGGAAGTTGGAGAGGGACAAGAGTGGCGTTACCGATTAAAACTGCGATATCGCTCCGGAGCACATCTGCCCCGCTGTGACTCAGCCCTCACTACTGACTGACTAACCACTCCGTAGCATTCTCCGCCAATCTGATTGGCCGATTGCTCCGATCTTATAGAAATGTGAATGGCATCATTTTAGGGCCTTGAGCTAGACCATAAATGGATGGTGTCAATATAGTTGAAAGTGACATAGTTGCTATGAAACTAGCCATTGATATGTACAGCCTTTTGTCTGTCCTATTTACTATGCATATGCCATACTCAGCTGAGAGATCAGATTGCGCCATCTATGCTTCGTCCTCATAATCGAAGATCTTGCCAGGGTTCAATAACCAATGTGGGTCGAGAGACTTCTTGATGGAACGCATAATTCCAATTGTGGCTGGGCCAAGCTCCTTTTTCAGTGAATCTTTTTTACCCAATCCCACACCATGTTCACCCTGGAAACTGGTCAGTCATGCTTCAGGTACAAGTTCAGTTTGCAGATGTCTTACGGTGCAAGAGCCTTCCATTTCCAATGCGCGATCAACCATGTCGTACACAACCTTTTCTACTCGCTCCCTTTCTTCTTGAATAGTGCGATCATATAAGATACTTGCGTGGAAGTTGCCATCTCCAATATGCCCAAGGATACTGGCAAAGATTCCCAGGTCATCGAGTTCTTTCTTGGAGATTTCTACTATGGTTAGCTAACATCCGGGTACTGGGTTGTCAAAAAGCATACCAATAATGTCTGGCAATCTAGAGATCGGCACGGAAACGTCGGTTGACCATACTTCAGATCCTCGCTCTCTTAGCGCCAGCATACTCCAGAGCGATTGTTTTCGCGCAGACCATAAATCATGTGCTTCTCGCTCGTCTCTTGCAAATTCGAACGAGCTTGCGTTGTTGTTCTTTGCCAGTGCTTTGGTCAGGTTAATACTATCCGCGACCCCAGCTTTGGTGCCGGAGAACTTGAAGAACAGAGTGGGCAATTTCTTCCATGTTCTTCCAGTTCCTCCGGCGCGGTTGATGACATCCATCTGTATCTCATCAAGAATCTCCATACACTGAACTTGAATGCCTTTTCGAACAAGCTGCATGGCAGTGGATGCCGCATCACGTACAGTGGGGAAGGTCACCACACCGACACGAGTCTGCTCTGGAATCGGCGTCAATTTCAGGGTAGCTTCAGTCACAATACCAAGTGTTCCTTCAGACCCAACAAACATTCCTGTCAGGTTATACCCGGCTGAAGTTTTGCGTGGACGGCGACGTGTCTTAATGACCCGACCATCCGCCAGCACGACAGTAAGGTTAATTACCCAGTCTTTCATGGTCCCGTACCTCACGGCATTGGTTCCACTGCAGTTTGTCCCAATCATGCCACCTATCATTGCAGACGGTCCCGGGTCAACGGGAAAGAAAAGACCGCTGTCCTTAATCTTCTCATTCAAATCCATCCATTGAATGGACGGTTGGACCACAACGTCCATATCAGATTCGTGCAACTCAAGTATCTTATTCATCGTCACGAAATCAATGGTCAATCCGCCTAGAGGGGCCGAAAAATTGGCCTCCAGACTAGAACCTCCGGAGTAGGGTATCATTGGCATTTTGTATTTGTGACAGATCTTGGCGATCTTGGAAACATCATCTGTACTCGCCGGGTAGGCAATGGCAACTGGCAGACGATCAGCATTGACGCTGGACCATTCTGAAAACCCATGTTGTTGAAGATCGTCTTTGTCGGTGCTGATGACCTCGTCACCTAGCGTGGCTCGCAATTCTGCAATGGCCTGTTTGTTCAAATCGATGTTTAGTCAAGTACACATGATTTACCATATATATATATATATATATATATTAAGAAAACGGGAGAGCTGGATAGTTTTCTACCTTCTCAAAATCCTTCGCAGATCCATACTTGGGATGCTTGCTATCCAAAGACTGGGACTGTCCGCTCGTCACAGCATATGCATAGCCGACGCCTGCAGCCAAGGCAGAGGCTAACAGGGTCCTGCCTGAATTTCGAGAACCCGAGCGGTTGCCAGAAGGCCCAGTATTGGCACCGTTCTCCTGTCCAGTATTGCCGTCATTCTTGTGTCCTGCCTTTGAACTAGCCCAACGCACTGCTTGTTGAAGAGGTAAGGAATGGCGTGGCGAGAGGGCGCTGGGCCGGCATTGAAGGGCGCGGAGATGTGCGGGGAATGCCCGAGGCACCTGGCTGAGCGGCCGCATTGTCTCACGAGCTCGGATCCACGGGGAGTGAAAAATATTGCTATCTGTAAGATTAAGGGTTGAATTGAGCAATATATATTACATTCCCGGTCCGGTTAAAAAAGACATACTAGGCCTCGAAGGCCGAAAATGGGGTCTCCGATTATCCAGTCGTAGCCCGTTATAGGAGCTTGGCCTCGGCGCGAGGAGAAACGTCATCGGGGCTAAGGATGAGACGTACAGCAGCTATCGGAAATAGGCCGAGTAGAATGCCATAGACCTGCCTTTGCTGGATAGTGGAATATGCTCTTGTCCAAGTCTAGAGGGTGCGGAAAAGTAGGTTCACCCCCACATTGATGAAGGCCGAGCAACGATGATTGATCCCCACGTTTTGAGGGGTTGCTGCTTATCGTTGAACACGATCGGCCAAAACTCCGATGGTGCCTCAGGAACACAGGCAGGCTACGACTTGGCAGGAACAGGCACACATGGCTCGGATTGGACCGAAAAGGGTAGATCATCCTGCAAGAAAGCTATACCTTGTCACTGTCAAGGACAACGTGAATGCATAGAGCTCAATGGAACAGTTTGATAAAGCAATCGCCGGCTATTCTTGCATCATATTCATTGACCCCACTTGCTTATCTGCCAGGCTCCCATATGGCCCGCGCCCAGTTGTTGATGGGGCAACCGGCTACATACAGAACATCAAATCTTTCCCACCACAGTCAAAAGTCAAGCTAACGATAACCTCGTGGGGAACGGCACGCCCCATTTTATCTGTGGCCCATATTTATTAGCTCATGGATACTCACTCCATAGATGAAGTCAGGTTAGCAGATATGCCAGATCAACACAGTATTCGTTTGAGTCGCGAGGTGGAACGCCTCGTTACCGCACCTTACGCACCTTCATTTCAGGTAAACTCCCGCTACTCCACGCGAGTATCTGAGGTCAATGCGTTAGTTTTGCTAATCCCTGGCACATTCAGGACCTATATAGCTTGACTCAATCAACAACGTCACAAAGCATTCGACTGTGGGCCTCTCACAAGCCCTGTCAAATCGGGGCTCTAGTTGACGTACTCGTGGATGGTCTATCGCGCTCTCGTTTCGCGTTACCTCTACTTGGGACATTCAGTAAGCTCATTGCTTGTATTAGTTGCATTGGCTAGGCTGATCTTCGGCAGTTTCAGCACCCGCGGTTCGGGATGCTTTGCTGGAGCGACATCCATGTCTTCTCGATCAGTTCCTTCAAGGTGTTATCGGCGATGACAAGGCAGAGGTTCGTACGCCCCTTATTCAAAGAGAATTGCTAGCCACGGGTGGCTAGTAATACTGTCGAGCTATGAGCTTCATGGACTGACTTTCTTAGTATGCTTTGGTGTGCACCGCCATCCTGGCGTCTCCTCTACCGCCTGAGTTCATAATACCCGCACGCTTGACACAGTTTATGGAAAAGATGATACGTACAATGGGAGAAGATCCCCGTGCAGAAAACATCCTACCTCTAAACCAAATCTCTAATGGCATCAAAAGATCACCTCGGCTCCTCGAAGAGATCCCGTCCGAAGTGATGGCTAGCCTTCAGGTAGAGCTCACGAAAACGCTGCGTAACCTGAGTGACCACATGGGCAACCTTCTCTGTCTAGCAACCTTTGCACGCATGGCATCCTTAGAAGATTCGGCGACCGAGGAAGGCTGTGTGCGGTTTGTTCCGTCATGGTTACAAAGCGTCAACCATTTCTTTGGCCCCAAGCGGGGTCTCAAAACTTTGGACCTCGTCGTCCTGCGCGTTATTCTTGCTTGCTCTGATAGCTGCAGTGACTTAACGGTAGATAAAGCAGCCGAGAGTATTCGTTTGGCCATCGAGATATGTGATAGAGTTGAGCCAGAACAGAGAGAAAGCTGGGTCAAGGCAAACGGCTCAAAGATTGCCAAGCTGCGGGAGAAGATCACCAGGAGTGGTATTGACTCTGGAGTTCAGATGCTAGTATGTGCTGGTTGAGCTCGAATCTGCGGCAATGTGGACACATGCTAATTATCGTCAGGGTGCGACATTTTTGGCATCGCTGCTTCCAGTTGCGGCATTATCAACCGATATAGCCCGAGTTGCTGTCGATGGGCTTATAAGTCGAGACAGCAAGTTCGTGCTAGGTGTGCTGACATCAGAGTATATACCACGCCTTGTAGGGGCAAGTGTGGTAAGTAAACCCACGTTGCCATCTGGGGCTATACTAACTCATTCAAGGCGTGTTTAGGCGTCACCGCGATACGCAGTCTGCTTGAATATATTGTGTCTTCTTTAGATACTACCAGCTCGCCGAGCCTGACTCATATTCTGGTGGCCAAGTCGCTGGTCACGGGACTGCATTCGGCATCGCTGAACTCCGCTATCTTTGCGGAACCTCTTGAACAATGTCAGCAAGTCCTGTGGAAAATAATTGAAAGCTTCCCGAGGAATCACGCTTCATCATCATGCCACGGCTCTCAAGAATGCGGAGCTGCACGTTCGCAACTGGAAAATGAACTAATTTATGACTTTTTATCCTTCTACCTTCACGCACTGCTATCACAGACCACAACTCAGGACACGATAGCTGGTAATGCCACCCTGCAGATGTTTCTGGCTCAAAACAAGCAGCTACTACACGGCCAAAAATGCTCGTTCTCAGAAGCAGAATCATCTCGTGCCGCCAAAACCTATACGACACTCAACGTCCGTGAGGGTGTTTCCGCGCCTAGTTCGCGGTCTGACTGGAGGAGCTCTATGTCAGAAACACTCATGCTTAATGCGCGCGTGTCAAACGACAGACTCATGCGTAAGATGGAGGAGGTGTGCTATGATCTCGAACAACGATGTGATGATGTCGAAGCCCCACTGCGGGCGATGGAGCAAGAGCGGAACGCAATTTCAGCCGAGGCGCAGCAGCTAAGGGAACAAAATGGCGCATTGGAGCTGCAATTTCAACAAGCATCCGATACAATTGGCGGGCTTCGGCTGGAGATCTCTCGCTTAGAGACCCATGCGGAAGCTGCATCCATCCGTGCTGAAGAATTGTCGGCAACTCTCGACGCAGCTCGAAGAGATCTTGAAGACCAGAGGCGCGAGTTTCAAGATACTATGGCAAGTGAGGTAGAAAAGGCCCGAACTAGGGAGTTGGACTTGGTCGCATCTATAACCGAAAGAGATGATCAGCTGGAATCATTGCAGGATGAAATGATAGCCCAAAGGGCCGAGAACACGAACCTGCAGAACGCTCTAGATGAAGCCTCGAAAGAGAAATCCTCCCTGATTAAAACGAATGACTCCCTCAACCAGGATTTGGCGGGACTTGAAGAGAAGCTCCGACAATGCGAACTGCTTCTAGTTCAAAAGGATGAGGACAAAGAGCAGATTCTATCCCAGAAGGCAGACACTGAGAGGGGAATGGAAACCCTTCGCATTCAGGTAGGATTACTAATATTCCAATGGCAGGAATTAAGAGATGCTAATGGGTTTTTGCAGCTTGAGGAAGAGAGGATGAAATCCCACGAGTTGGCGTCCACAATCGAGAAAACCGAAAGGGGCCTGCAAGTAGAACAAGAAACTGTTCGAGATTATGAGGCTCAACTTTCGGCGGCAAGTACAAAGGTAGGATCAATGGATTGATTATGTACTGGAATCCCAATTTCTAACGCACATTCAATAGTACGAGACCCAAAAGGAAGAAATATTCTCGCTGCGTATGGCCATGCAGGCAGCCGCATCCGACGCCACAAAGGAGCTGCAAACGAAGGATAAGCGGATACACCACCTAGAAAAGAAGGTAGGACAAGAAGCAGCGAGAAGCAGCAATTCCTCTTTATCTGTGTGCTTGAGCATTTACTTATCAGTCAAAATAGGTACAACAACTACGAAATGAGCGAGCCGCAAAAGCCCGGGAATTTTCTGAAGCCCAGCAACATATCGGACGTCTTATGAATGTTATGGGGATCCGAGTTGAGACCGACGGGACGAGACCCCCGAGCAAACAGACGAGGAGGTCTAGTGCAAGGCCCTCCCCGACAACCATGACACAGCAAACGCAACCGGCGGAGGACGAGCTCCAAACCCAGCCTGAAAACTCACAGGTGGAACCGATTGGAAATAGCATGTCGTCTCCTCCTTGCCGGAGCCCGAAAAGGACGATGGATAATGCATTTCCTCCGGCTGATCCATCATCGCAGCAAATGAGGGTCGGCAGGAAGTCTAGAAATGTAACACCCCAGCACAGGCGAACACCCCTCGAAGATGCCGACTTAAATAGCCAGCCGTGCGCACAGCGAAGCCCCGCGTCACAACGCAGCGAATGTGACACTTCCGACCAAGTTCGGACTCGCGCCAGCTTGGAAGAGAACCAACTTCAGCACATAGACCTGGACATGGATCTGGAGTTTTCGAAGGACTTCCTCTTCACAAGCACGTCCTTGTCCGCCGCCAATGATCAGACACAGCAGTAGTATGAGGCTTACATGAATAATGATTTTTGTATATACGTTAGTTCGTATGATAGCCTAGGCTATCGTTGACGCGCCCTTAATTAGATCCGTCCGGTTCTGAAGTACCTAGATTGAGGGCTGGACCCAGTACTAATGGACACTGTCCAAAGCATCATCCGTACTTATTTACGCCACATTGAACTCTCGGTCTGTAGCCCCAGGTCAGCTTGCTCTGTGGCGGCGCATCTGAAGAGTAGATGGGCCATAGCCAAACGCCCGGAGGCTCCACTCAATGGTGTCATTGTGAGAATTCATCTCGCCTGTGAGAATCTGCAAGTGCTGTGGCTGATTTCGTCTCATTCACTTTTCGGCTCTAACCATGAGTTTGGTTGGTTATCGCAGGAAGATTCCGACTGGTCAAGCCACATGGCTGAGACATTATAAACACTGAAAATGAGCTAGAAAAAGCCCCAGGCCGCCTTTGTACTTCTCACTTCTGCTTTATCTTGACTTTTCCCAGCCCTCAGATTAGCGTAATGTGCACTCAGATCTAGTCTTCTTCGCAATACCAACCACAGCGCTCTCCTCGGTACCTGCTCCTTCAGATCACTAATACCTCCAGTCCAGGTCATAGTCTCGGACAACGAAAGCGAGTGAGTAGGAAAGCATAGTGGACAGGGTAAGCTGATGGAGATGCGTCCAGAAGATGACCCCAAAGTTCTCTCCCCGGACAGCGGGAGGGAGCTTCACTCGAGAGCCAATTCTCCCCATGTCTCTCTCTTTCTTTCTCCGTCTTCTCTCTCTTCCTCCCGGCCTCTTCCTCACTTCACTGTCAACTCGCCTTCTTCCTCAGCTCACTTTCCCCTCCCTTCACCCCCAGATTCCTCTTCCTCTTCATCCTCTCCTTCTCTCTTATCATCTTCATCCCCACATCCCCCTCTACCTCCACTTTCTTCTTCTGCTCCCTTCCCCTCACACACTTCATCCACCTCCAAGTCTGCTCAACCTGCAGCGGCCATGCCCCATCGAGGCAAGCAACAGCATACGAGGGGGCAAGGTTCCTACTGGCGGGGGCAAGGGAGGCAGCCGAGGGGGCAACAACGTCTATACAACATATTACCTCCTCCAGCTCCATGGAGATCGTGGGCTAGTGTTTCAATAAAACTTACTGGGCTGCCTCCCAAAGTCACTGCCCGTACTATCTGGCAGGCATTCAAAACCGAAGGCACGATCTTTTCGATCGATATCTTCGAAGACCATCATGGCCAGTTGGAGTCGAGGGGGAAAGTTCGCTTCAAGTTGGTCCTCGCTCAGGTCATGAATCCTCGGATATCACTAATCATTCACCAGACCGCCACCCCGTTCCGATTTTTGGAAAAATGGTTCATACATGATCAAGCTTTCAAGCGGACAAGAAGTACGCATTTTTGTTGCTCTTGAAGAGCCCAGGCCTTCAGAGCTTGAGATTCCAAGCCCAGTGCGTCCCAATGTCCGCTATCCGGTTGAGCTCGTAAGTATCCCCAACCACAAACACAGAAGCCAACTCTCATCCGGTGTACCTTTTCTCTCAGACAATCCCAATTTCCTCACTTGATATTGGAGTTATGCTTAACGAAACAACACTCCTACCAATGCGGACGATCGAAACCGGTCCCCTCGGGAAACCCTTCCTGCTACTCAATCTGAAAATTAAAGAACTTCACGTCTTCTTCCAACTTCAGATACTCAGCTCTAATAGTAAATCAACCTCAACCTCTTCTCCCGATACCTGGTACACATATCGCCTCAGGATCCCCCTAAGACAGCTGGGCAAGATCTTTCAGTCACGCAATATTACAACTGGGGTGGTATCGCACTTGACCGTGCTCGAATCCCCTCCCATGTATCACCGCCGAATCAGCGATATAAGTGCTACATTCCATGAGCCGGGAATCTGGAGGGACTCAGACTGCTGGTATCGCCAGACACATATTGTCCGCAACCCTCTCAACTTGTCTACGCTCCCAGTCAGCCTACCAAGGCAGAAGCCTATCATAGACATTGGTATGCCCTCATTTCTGCATCAACTGTTGTCGCTAGTCGTCTCTATCATTTCTATCTTTCCACTGGCTAATCTTACAATTTTCCGCAGGTCGATGGAATGCCTTCAGAATCAGTTATCCTCTAGATTGCCAGAAGGAACTCTTCACTCAGCTTTGTGCAATGTTCCAGGATTATAATGTTTCTATTGAGGAGACTGACCGCTTTATTCAATGGGATGATAGACAAGAGAGGATGCCGCCAGTGTGGAAGTGGATCGATCTGTCCGATGCCTCCAGTTTGTCAACGTCGTCATTAAATGACCTGATTGACTCTAGTTATGTCCCTCTGCCCTTCGCAGTTCGGTATCAGCTTGAAGTTTGTATTTCCAATGGCTACCTTTCCGAATTTACCATGACGCATGAGTTCGCCGCCAAACTAGCTGAGCTCGGGGAAGCAAAGGCAAGAAAGCTTCTGGAGAATGTAGCAAGTCAAAAACAGCAGTATCTAGACCCGATGAAGATATTTGATCTTCCATTTATCAGAGGGGTCAGAGCCACTAAGGTGAAGATCCCTCCTTACTGCTGTCATATGCGATCCGCTACAATCACACCCAGCACCGTGTACTACAATCTACCATCAGTGGACATCTCGAACAGGATTATTAGACGCTACATGGAACATTCAGATCGCTTTCTTCGAGTTCGATTTACGGATGAGAAGCTTTATGGTCGCATTCATGCTAGAAGCGATAATTCTAATGATGAGATTTTCACCCGCATCAAGCGAGCACTGGCAAATGGCATTATCATTGGCGACCGACGATACGAATTCCTTGCTTTTGGGAACTCCCAGTTTCGTGAGCATGGGGCCTACTTCTTCGCCCCATTGCCTGACCTTACAGCGGCCAATATCCGTGCTTGGATGGGTCATTTTAGCGATATCCGAAATGTGGCAAAGTACGCAGCACGGCTAGGCCAATGTTTCTCAACAACTCGGGCAGTAGCTGGTTGCCCAGTACAGATACGCAATATTCCTGATGTGGAAAGAAATGGCTACACTTTCTCTGATGGAGTCGGAAAGATCTCGAGGTTTCTTGCACAAATGGCAATGACTGAGCTCAAGATAAAGACGCCAACGGGCGAGCCTCCATCAGCCTTTCAGTTCCGTCTTGGGGGCTGCAAGGGTATGCTTGCTGTTTCTTCCGATGCCCAGCCTCAGGAGATTCATATTCGAGAGAGCCAGAATAAATTTCCGACCGTTCATAACGGCTTGGAGATCATCCGATGGTCTCAGTACTCAATGGCTACACTGAACCGCCAGCTGATACTTGTCATGTCCACCCTCGGGATTCCTGACGAGGTATTTCACGCTAAACTCAAGTCCATGCTGCGTGCTCTTGATGAGGCCATGGAAAGTGACTCCCGAGCAATCGAGGTACTCAAGAAGTACGTTGATCCGAATCAGACGACTCTTACCGTCAGTCAAATGGTATCTGATGGTTTCCGGCGATCTAAGGAGCCATTCTTCACATCTATCCTAGCCCTTTGGCGGACCTGGCATATCAAGTACCTGAAGGAGAAGGCGAAAATTGTCATTGACAATGGCACGAATTTACTAGGCGTCATGGATGAGACGGGGATCCTTAAGGGCTACTTTTATGATAAAATACCAAAGGAGGGCGCTTCTCTCGAGCAAAAGCTAGCAGCATTGCCAGAGATCTTTCTTCAGGTCCCTCGTACAAGTGGCTCTGAGGGAGGTGCACAATACGAAGTCATCGAAGGGCTCTGTATACTGGCACGCAATCCCTCTCTTCATCCAGGTGACATTCGTGTGGTCCGGGCAGTCAACGTGCCTGAGCTGCACAGCCTCCGTGATGTGGTCGTCTTACCACAAACCGGTGATCGGGACATCGCCAGCATGTGTTCCGGTGGAGACCTTGATGGTGATGACTACCTGGTTATTTGGGATCAAGACTTGATTCACAAGGACTGGTTTTTAGACCCAATGCGCTACACAAGCAACAAGGCACAGGATCTAGACCACGATGTCACAGTCGATGAAGTTACCTCGTTCTTCGTTATGTACATGAAAAATGACAGTCTTCCAACGATTGCTCACGCCCATGTTGCCTGGGCAGATCAGCTTGAGGATGGTGTTAACGAAGAAAAGTGCATCCGACTTGCTCAGCTCCATTCCGATGCCGTGGACTACAACAAAACAGGAAGACCGGCTATCATGACCCGCAATCTTCAGCCACGAAGGTGGCCTCATTTTATGGAGAAGCCTAAGCCAAAAGACCAGATATATTGCTCCAGGAAGATTCTCGGTCAGCTCTATGACGCTGTGGAGAGGGTGGACTTCGTGCCAAGCTTGGAGATGCCTTTTGACGAGCGAATCCTGAACTGTTCAATCGAGGTCAGCGAAGACCTCCACACATTCGCTAAGAATCTCAAGAATGAATACGACACAGCCATGCGGCGAATCATGGCACAGCACGAGATCAAGACCGAGTTTGAAATCTGGTCAACCTTTATTCTTAACCATTCACATATGAGCAAGGACTACAAATTCCACGAAGAAATTGGTGCAATTTCAGCCGCGCACCGCGAAACCTTCAGAAAGCAATGCTACAACAAGGTGGACGGTAGAACATTCGAGCTACTGGCACCACTAGCAGTCGCTATGTACCGTGTCACGCATGAAGAAATGACTCAAGCGCTCAAGAAACATCGCGAAAACTCTCCACCGCATGAAACTCCCAAGATAAATCAGCTGCCTCTGATCAGCTTCCCCTGGATTCTTCCCCATATACTAGGCAGAGTTGCCCGTGGTCTATACGATGTCTATCAGCCTCCAGCACTCCAATCCGTTCTTGTGGAAATTGATCCAACCAAAGTCCCTCCCACTGCAGGTAAACCTGATATCCTGTACGAAGACCCGTTCGACCTATTCACAGACGAAGAACGCACAGCCAACTCATCACACACTCAGTCAATCCCAACTGCGGGCCCTTCCACTAGCCACGCAGGCGCGAAGAGCAGCGAGAGCATCATCGATCAACTGCTTGATTGCGGCATTTCGGACGTACCGACTCTATCGCCTTCTCTTCCATCCACGTCTTCAAGCACCCCCGGTAGGGAACAGATCTCCTTGTTAGACATCGATGACAACGTAGCAATACCCGAAATGCCCGAAATTCCCAGGCCGGTCATTGCAAGCCCTTCGGCAACACCACTCGTGGAGGAACTCATCGAGGGAGATGACGAATGCGAGGAGATCATCGAGGAGGAAGACGATGTTGAGCCTACTGCTCTCGATAAACTCAATGAGCTGCTTGGCCTTTGAGACAGGTCTTATATCGTCTGGGGATAGTACAACCTGCCGTTCTTGATTGCTTCGATCTGTGACGCTTGTTCCGCAGAACTATCTTGCTTCACTTACGTGCGTCAGAACTAGAATGTAATTACCAGTCTAGGCATGCACAAATTGCATTATCATAATCCATCTGAACATTAAGTACTATATTTCTAACCCCTCCGTTAAACAGTATACATGTTTGTGGTAACCATACATCACCCAACCCAACCCCTTCACATCCCATAATATATACTAAACGCCTATCCCATTGAACCAACCTCTAACCCCATCCCAAGCAATCAAAAGAACCAAATTACCCTTCCCCCCAATAAACCAACCTACCACTCCAACTCCTTCTCACACCTATCTCTCAACAACCCCACCACCGGATCCAGCACCGCCTTGGTATACCTCCAATTCGCCTCATCCCTCGTCCTCGAATAAAACACCGGACAATCCTTACTATCACACTTCACCTCATCCCCAAACGTCACTCCCATACAAGACCTACAAATGCGTTGCAAATCCACGACCCTCTTCTCCGCCGCCCTCTGTCTCGAAACAAGCTCAAACATCGCAAGATGCGGCTGTCTTGAACAGTTCCCGCAGAGCGGGGTATCAGTATCCCGCAATTTACTCTTGCATACGATGCACGTCGACGCTCTCATATACGACTCGAGGGTTCTCCGCCCACCGGGACCGCGTAACATTGCTCCCTCGACGCGCCGCACACGCTGCACTTTCGGCATCTCGTCGTACCATTGGCGGACGTTTGCGCCGACGAGGTTGAAGATCCTCTCGAGGGGTGGGATGAGGTTCTTCGTGATGTAATAGTCTGCGTCTAGGTCGAGGTGGGGATCATGTAGGAGGGTTTCGGGCGGGACGCAGCGGTCGATGAGCCTTGCGCCGGGGGCGCCAGTGACGACGACGTAGGGGACGCGTTCGCCGTATTGGGGTTCGGAGCGCGGGTCGGCGATCATTTTCTTTGTGCTGATTAGGGCGCCTGGTGGTGGGAGGCCTCTGTCGCTGTAGGTGCCTAGACGGACTTCTCTTGCGAAGCAGAAGTCCTGGACGGAGACGCGACCTTGCATGATCTTGGTGCATTGGGATTGGAAGTAGCGTTTGACTTGGGAGAGGTCGGCGGTGCGGAAGAGGAGTTTCAGGGCTTTTTCTTCGATTTTTTGTTCGGCGGGTGTGCCGTCCCGGCGGACAGTTTCAATCCCCTTCGCGTCGAAGTCGGGTTCTTTTTGATCCCGGTGTTCGTATTTGAAGCCGACGTAGCGTTTTTTGGCGAGGAGAACGCAGGGGTGGTAGACTTTTTCGAATTTGAGTTTCACGGGGTGGGGGTTTATTGAGGTTACGGCTTTGGCGATTTCTTCGCCGATGGTGAAGGCTTCGTCGCGGGTTCGGCCTTTGAGGTAGACGAAGAGACTGTCGGTGTCGCCGTAGACGACTTCGGCGCCCCAGCGTTCAACGGAGTGGATGAAGGCGATGGCTTTTTCGAGGGTTTCGCGGCCGGATTGCACAATGCTGTCGGCGATTTCGGAGCAGGGCATGCGGCCCGAGAATGAGGCGGATGTGTAGCCGTAGGTGACGTTGGCGATTAGTTTCAGGGCTAGCTGTCGGTTGTTGAGGAGGCGCTGGAGCGCTTTGTCGTCTTTGTCGAGCTTCATGCCGTTCTTAACCATGACTCGCGTTTCGAGGATCTCGGCGAGCATGCGTGCGAGGAGGGATTTGCGCACTTCGGGTTTTGCGTAGATCATGCCGTTGGGGGCGATGTTGATCTTGTCTTGTAATAGCTCTAGTATTCGGGGCTGGCGCTTGTAGTCCGTGAATCCCATCTTGTTTCGGCCTCGCCATTGGTGTGCTCGTCCGAGGAATGTCGAGTAGCAGTAGTTGTAGGCGATCATGATGCTGGGGTACAGGGACTGGAAGTCTAGTACCACAAGAGGGCTGGTGTAGAAGTCGCTTTGGGGTTCCATCACCAGTGGGAGACATTCAAGGGCATTTTGTTGGCCAACTTGTTTCCTGCTCGGCGAGACGAGTATGAAGTTCTCCGGTTTCGCAATGCGAAACATGAGAGACTCAACCTTGAATTGTGAGCCACGAGAGAATACTGAGAAGAAGTCAATTCCCAGTAGCCTGGCCTGCTCGCTGGTCCTGGGGATCAATTCGTTTGACTCTAAAATCTCGAGATCCATTTGCACGCGAGAGACGAAGTATTCGACTACTTTCAGTATGTTGCGAGGCTTTCCACTGCGATACCAGTCTGTGAGATCCTGAAACGAATAGTGCGGGACACGGCGGTGCAGCAGGTGAAAGGCAACATTTTCCTGTGTATACTGCAGCAGGTTCAGCTCGCCTCTCATGGCTCGCCAGATATTGATCATGTGCCGTCCAGTGACTCGAATAGAAGAGGTGTGGTTGAAGCCCCATCGGTCAGCATCCTTGCCAAATCTCCCATGGGCTTGCGACTTCACTCTGGACAGCTCATCGCAGATGTCAAAGTCATATTTCTTCCTTGCTCGCTCGATCAAGTAGCCCCAGGAGCTGTTGTGTACCTCGTAGCCAGTGATGATATCGGGATCATGCCAACGAACAATGTCTACCACACGATTGATCAAGTCAAGTTCGCTGGTTTCATGTTCCCAGTCGATTCTCAAGGCTTTGGATGCCTTAGTATCTGGCCTGTCGTCTTCCGATTGAGATATCATGCCAACATGAACCCCTGGCACCGTACCGTTGGCATCAAGGTCCTCATCTTCCGACTGCAGGCACCAGAACACACATGTGATCTCATCCTCTTCTGGGTTCGGCGACAGCACACCCCGGGTGTTCACATGCACCTCCAGGCTCATTATGCTCATATACTGTGTCTGGTGCTCGACACTGGTGGATTTTCCTTTTTGTGAATATTTGAAGCCATAGCCATTCTTCTGGGTAGGGCCTTCGATCTGTGACAAGACATTCGCCTTCATTTGTACCTGCTTGGATGTTTGGGGTTGAGCGGCATCTGCCTTCTCCTCAGCTTGAGACTTTTCGAACCATTCGATGACTTCTGAGCGGCTTGGAGGAACAGGGGCAAACTCCCAAAACCTAGAGGTAGAGAACTCCCGCAGCTGCTGGTCAACCACCTCTTGTTCGTTCTTGTCTCTCGGTGGAGTATATTCCCCTAGCATAGCCATAGACCGCCCTAACGGATCGAAGTCGGGGAGGTAGTGTATACCACTACCTTCTAAGCGGAATTCCCTCCCTGCGTAATCCCTCGCACGGTCAGGCACATCACTCTCATCGCTGTAGTGCGCTTTCTGATAAATAACGGACGGATAATCATAGCAATGAGGTGTCGAAGCGACCTCGCTAGTACTGGGAGAGAGATTTCGCAAGAAACAAATGCGAGCATTCATAGGCATGTTAAAGGCAGCACAGAATCCTGATGCTATTTCCAAAATCTGCGGACCTATGCCAGCATCAGGACTTGTTACAGTGACTGATGACTGCGGTTGTGATGAGTTGTTCTCCGCTCTAATATCTTTCGAAATAACATCTGGCCCAGAACTGGCTAAATCTTTTTCTAGTTCTCTAAGTTCCTTAGAAGAAGGCGCACCGTCCTGGCTGAAGCGCAAGATTGTCATAGGATCATTGGGGTCTTTAACGACCGGAAAGTTGAGCCTTCCAATCTGTTCAGGCCTCTTAGAGCGGACAGTGGACTGAGATAGCTTTTTTTGTGAGGATTTGCCCCTTACAACTGCATCCGCATCCGACGTGTTGGCGGCATCTTCGATCTTGGGGGTTGTACTGTTGACTTGAACTTCAGCTATCCGAGACTTCCGCGGCCTATCTAACATCTGCGATGGGGTGTCATCGAAGAATCTTTTCCGCTTGCGCAGATTATTATGGCTGGGCTCTCGGCTTTCGGTTCGTCCGACTATTTCATCCGAACCTGCTTTTCGCGTCACACTCATTTCGTAGGCATTTAGTTCATCAGTGGAGTACCCCGGTTCGTCTTGGGCTAGGTCAAGGATATCTCCGGCCTGGATTTCATCCAAGGTGTCTGCAGCTTCCGGGTCATTGTCTTCTCCGGGTAATACGTCGAAAATATCATCGCCGGAAAGGTATGAATCATCATCCGAGACCGCAGGCCAAGCTGCGCTCTCATCAACGTTTACTTCTGCGTTCGCCGCCGTATCAGGCTCGACAGGTTGTTGTTGATACTTATCAAAATCGTTCTTGTCCGGATAGAAATCCTCGACACTCTGCATCGCAGTCTTTACATCCTGGGCGAAGGGCTTCTGCGAAAGTAAATCATCGAATGTTACATCGCCGCCACCATTCTCCTGCTTCTCCTCATTAACGGTCTGCGCAGCCATTTGACGATACTCTTCTTCGTGGATCCAGCCACCTCGAGAAGTATCTCTTGGGTTAACGGACAAAGAGACTAATTCGTTGGGATCGAATGGACTACTGCCTGGTTCGAGCCCCAGACGCTTTTTCCGCCTGCGTGTCTCATCCTGCCACAAACCTGCCATGCTTGGAACAAGTCGTTCATCAGAAGTCATTTGCTTGAAGAGTTCAGTAAAATCTTGATGAATGGGTCTTTCGCTGATTTCCGAGCGGTTCAAAATGTCCTGAACGCAAATATCGACCTCTAGGGGACAATGGCTTTGCTTTGGAAAAAGAGAGTCGTCTAACAGGTCGTCGGGTTGTACGGATCGGTCGTGCCAGCGATGGGATAGGTCAGAAAGTTCAAAGTATTCTGGGACCGGTCTGCGAAACTTGACTTTGCTACACTTCAGATAGGCGCATCCGTACAAACTGTAGTCACACATCCACTGCGGAACGAACTGCAAATGACTTTCGTATGGCTGTAGAGGACGCTTAAGGACAGCGCCCTGAAGTAGCAAGTCCGCCAGCCTGGTCATATAAATGGGATTCGTGAGATAGATTTTAAAGTAGAACTTATAGCCCACATGATACCCATAGAAGGGAACACCCTTCACCAGAGTGATGTGCGCAACGAAGGGTATCTTCTTGGCATTTTCGTTGCGATTGTAGCTTACTGCCAGAGCATGATCGATCGAGAGACGGAGACTCCTAATGGCGGAGCTCACTATAGAGGACTTAGCTGCATGAACATACCATATTGTTACACCTCTTATCAGACCAACCTTTCTCTGTCTCCAGATCACCGTCATACTCGACATACAAATAAGGAAAGGCGCCATGCACATGGACGCACACCTTCTGGCCAGTCTCCGTAGCCCCAAAGACCCTAATTACGGGGACCTTCGATCTATCATTTTTCCCAGCCGCACCATCCCTGTAAGGCAGAGGAGGGTCGAGTTCTGACGGAGTTGCCTGGTAGTGATCCACGCAGTTAAGGCGCACTTGGAAGGGCTCCATAGCTTGATTTCAGGACAGCGGAAGCTGTCAGCGACCGAACGCGCGAGAACTTCCGAGTCGCGTCATATCAATAAATCAGGTACCGACAACATCACCCACTGCTTCGCCGTCCAACTCTCTTTTTTGACTGCGACGTGTAGGAAGTTGTGGTTGAGTTTACGCGACTGGGTGGCGCGGGTATTACGCCAGGTCACGTGAGTGATACGGAACCGTCGCCGACTCCCATCAGCGCGGAGATAGAATCAAGAATTTGACATACACACACATCTGCTGGTTTTACTAGAGAAATTTGAGTCCTTTGGCGGCGCTATAGCTCGTACTCCCTTCCCCTATACTTTGCGCCTTCTGAACCCTGCCATCCGCCATCATGTCTAAAAAGCCCGCCGATGTGGCGTCGAAAGAGCGCAACGAGTATATTCCGTCTTTCATTTCGAAAAAGCCGTTCTATATCGACGACGACTCTCAAGCAAATGACTACCTAGAGCATCAACGTCTGCAAAAGTCGACAGCAGACCAGTCAAAATGGTACGATCGTGGCAAGCGTGCTGGTCCCGCGGCCACCAAATACCGGAAAGGTGCCTGTGAGAACTGCGGCGCCATGACCCACAAGACGAAAGAGTGTCTGAGTCGCCCTCGAAAGCATGGTGCCAAATGGACCGGTAAAGATATTCAGGCGGATGAAGTTATACAAGACGTCAACATGGGGTGGGATGCGAAGAGAGATCGGTGGAACGGCTACGATCCGAGCGAATATCGACAAGTGGTGGAGGAGTACGAGGAACTTGAGAAATTGAAACGAGTCACAAAACAGGATGGCGAAAATGAGGGCAAGGACGGCGAGGCCGATGACGATGAAGATGCGCCTCAGGAGGAAGCCCGCTACGCTGAGGAGTCCGACATGGGAAGACAACAGAGCACCGCCACTCGCAACCTCCGTATCCGAGAAGACACGGCAAAGTATCTGCTGAACCTGGACCTCGATTCGGCCAAGTACGACCCGAAGACACGACGGATGGTTGATATGGGCGCTCAGGATGATCAGGCGGCAGCACTTGTTGCCGAAGAGAACTTTGTCCGCGCTTCAGGTGATGCTGCTGAATTTGAGAAGGCGCAAAGATATGCCTGGGAATCACAAGAACGTGGTGCGCAGAAGGTCCACCTGCAGGCGAACCCGACAGCTGGAGAGGTCATGCGGAAGAAGGAGGAGGCAGAGTTCGTGGCGAAACGTGAAGCTCAACGGAAGGCTCTTCTGGATAAGTATGGTGGTCAAGAGCACCTCGACCCCACACCGTTGCGGGATACAATGGTTGTTGAGAACGAGAGGTTCGTCGAATATGACGAGACGGGTGCGATTAAGGGAGCACCAAAGAAGGCGGCCAAATCGAAGTATGCTGAAGACATCTTCACCAACAACCACACATGCGTCTGGGGAAGTTGGTGGCACAACTTTGAGTGGGGATACGCCTGCTGCTTTTCCACCGTCAAAAACAGTTACTGTACTGGTGAAGATGGGAAGCGCGCATTCCAGGAAGCAGACCAGCTGCTGATGCTGTCTGAGAACGGGGCCGATGGTGACGAGCCATCCGCTGAGCATGAAGATAACGACGCGCATGAAGCTGTTGATGATGCTCAATCCTCAGAGCAGCCGAAGGAGTCATCTAACGGTAATGCTAAGAAGAGAACGCTCATGGAGGTGCAGTCTGGAATCACCGAGGAAGAAATCGAGTCATACAAGCGAAGCCGACTTGCAGCCGACGATCCTATGGCCGCATTCATTGGCAAAGACGAGCTTGTTTAAAAGCTCCTATAACATTACAAATTTCACCAGATCTGCTATATAGGCGCATAGTAGTTGTCATAGATACCCATCCAAATTGTGCATATCCTGATATCTTCTTCTATAGCTATAATCTGTAATTCCAGTCTTATTATCGGTATAGATTCTTCATCACTATCTGGACTAAGTACGGAGTAGTTAGGTAGATGCATAGATAGCCTTATTGCTCCCGGGCCGCGATACCCTAGTCCCCTAGTAGCCTAGTGCAATGGAGCAATAAAGTGGATCCTGCTGGAGCAAACAGAATTACTCTTTGCAGTTATGAAGTCATGTGACAGACTCACCCTTGACGCTGTCGGCGAATCACGGGACCAGGGCACAAGCCCTGACAACCACAACTCGCTAAGCGACACCACCCCAGATCCCAGAGCAACTTCGATACGCCCAGCGACGACGACAACGACAACCAGCCCTTCAACGGAATCGCCAGGTAGGTCCATTTTGCGCCCTCACGTGGGATTATTGTCATTTTTCCCCAGGTCGGGAAATTTTTTTAATCTCGATTTTCCGTCGCTAACAAATTGTGCCATATAGTTCCACATAATTCAAGATGAGTACGTGCCAACGCGATATACCACCGCCCAGTCCGATCTATCGACGAGAACAACATCCAGACTGACATACCGATTCTGTTTACAGCGAAGGGTACCTCCAGCTTCGGAAAGCGCCACAACAAGACTCACACTCTTTGCCGGCGTTGTGGTCAGTATTTACACTACTCCGAAAATTTATATATGTCCTCCGGGCGGGAATTGTTATACGGGATATCTCTACACAACCAACGGAATGGATGAGAGAAGGAACGGAATAATAAATGACTGCCGGGAGGGACATACATATGAGGTTATGGGGAAAACGACCAGATATGCTAATACTCTTCGGATTGAATTCAGGCCGCCGCTCCTTCCACGTCCAGAAGTCGACTTGTGCCAACTGCGGTTACCCTGCCGCTAAGACTCGCAAGTGTACGAATCCTTTTCCCCAAAACCCCACCAACGAAGAACAACCGCTGGTTCCTTGATAAACCTTGGATACGGATTGTATGAAAAAAGTATTTGGATGAACAGATTGGCTTACGATGTTCGTTTTATACAGTCAACTGGAGCGAGAAGGCCAAGCGCAGAAAGACCACCGGCTCCGGCAGAATGCGTCACCTCAAGGAGGTCCACCGCCGCTTCCACAACGGCTTCCAGGTCGGCACCCCCAAGGGCGCTCGTGGTCCCGAGAACCACTAGATTCCCCCGTTTCGATGACTGTCGCGTTTTCGTTTCGTTCTCGGAGGCTGGAGGCAGGGCTGGTATGACAGGGCCGGTTGGCATTTGACGACGTGAACCGGGTCGCAATGCTAGGGGCAATAAAAAAAAGACGCTATTCCCCGTGGAGTTGGTGTTGGGACGGTCTTTTTTTTTCATATTTGCCGTCATAGCATTTCTTTATTCTAGAGAAACACAAAAATGGCATATATTGACGACAATGTGAAAGAAGAAGAAAAAGACGTTCGTCTTCTCTCTCTCTTTGGGGATGTTTTCTCTTTTTCTGTTTCAAAGAAATGAAATGGGAAACTTTATGCATGAATTTCCTTGTCTTGTTTAGGGCTGGCAGATATCCCATGTCGTGACAGATGCAGTTTGAGATTATTCGTCCAATATGATCTGTCTACTTGATTGCAACCTACCCTTCGAGTGCGTACGATGTGGTTTCTGCGACAACAGGTGTGCTTTTTCGATCCAATTGCGACAAGATTTCTATTTACCCCAAATCTATTGTTTTCCGCATGCACGCCTGAACGCCTGGACATGACATGGAATGATGCAACAACTTCAGTATCTATTCTCCTCGCCCAAAGACGCTAACACCACCGTCCCTTTGAACGAAATATAGGACTTCCTTCTCTTCCCAGTGACTATTAGCCTCGGTGCTGTCATTTTGCCCCCACGCGCCACCTTTGCTGACCCTGAGCACACCGCTGACATCCCTTGCGGCACCCGTTTCAAGGTTTCGGAGCTGCATAACCATGTGCGCCCGATGAGCCGATCCGATAGCGAAAGCGGCATGCTCAGTCTCCAGCGGAGTTGCTCCCTGGTGCGCAGATGCGGAAGCATTGTGGATCAACGGAGAGTCAGAGGACGCCGTCATAATCGTTGCGTGAGCGTACTAGGCAAATAAGCTCGCGGTCAGCGGATATGGTTTCCGATATAAATACCGTACTGCCTGTGGAGACTTGTAGCATACCTGTTGTAGGCCCATCACCCAATCTCCCATCTCTGTAGCGCCTATGCCCCTGCTCGGACCCGTAGCGGCTAGTAGCAGATCTGGCTGATCGATAATCAATAAAACCTCGGGCTCTTCCTGTTCATCTCCGGATGTTGATGTTTTCAGATCATTGATCACCGCCGCAATGTCTTTCTCGAGCACATCCAAAGCCGCATTTCCATTTCCTGATAGGTGAAGCCGCTTGACTGGCCCGACTTCTCTCGATGTTGGCGGGTTCGGAGGGGCAGCGACTGGCCGAGCAGCGGGTTGCGGTCCTCGCGCGGGAACGGGTCCGGGTTGCGACCTGAGGGGCAGAACTGTCCGGGGAGGCACTGTTCCTCGCGGTGAAGGTTGGATTGTTGGTGTCTGAGTCGAAGTAGCGGAGGGGGCGGCGAAAAGTTCGGAGAGTCCGTCAACAAAAGCGAATTGGCGTTTGTCTGTGAGGCGGGCAAGATCGAGGCCCTAGTCGGGTTAGCGTTGTCGCCAATCATTTGGATAAGTAGACAGCATTTATAGTGGTTTCAAGGAGAAATGGAAGTATCCAAGCCTCGCACGGCCCGAATAGTCCATAGCATATGACCAAATAGAGCGAGGTGACATGGGTTCACAAGCATACCAATCTTTTGGCCTCGGACCTCCAAAATTCCCAACCCCGCAGAAAACTCACGAGCACAACCTTCCTCTTTCTCCCATTGTTGGTGTCGCTGAGGCCTGCAACAGCGTCTGAAGTCGACGACGAATTCAAGGCAGCATATAGAAATCGTAGGACTAGCCAATTCCCTGTTGCGCCAAGGACTGAAGATAGGACTGTGAGGGAGGATGGCGGCAGAGACGATACGTAGGGAGTGAGGAGGGGTGGGAGGGGCGGTTGGCTAGGCATCGCACTGAGAGCGTCGCAACTGCTCCGTCTTCAAAATCGTACGGTCGGATAGCACTGATGATGTCTCCGAGCTGATGGAGATGACTTCAAATTTGAGATTGGAATTGTAGAAACGAAAGCTGTATTTTTTGTCAGCACCTTTTGGAAATGACGTTGTATGAAATTCGATTTCCTGCGGATTTTTGCGATTGGTCGGCGACGGTGCCAAGACAAGTCACTGGATCGATCAATACGGAAGGAGCGATGGGGGGCCTGCCTGTTTACTACTTACTAGATGGAGATGGTCGTGGTCTTCCCCCTGCTCATCTTGACGATGACTTCTTTCTCATCTACTAGCTACCATTTCTTTCATCGTCCTGGATGTTCTCTTCGCCTAGTCTGAGTTATTTCAACTTGTTGGCTCGTGTATCAGTAATGAAGCGCTGATCACGTCCCCGAGCTCAGTGCTGTACCCGAACTAAATATATTCTAAGTGGTGCTCTTAGGCTAATATGCTAGCAACGCGCCCTCTGCATGCTGCTAATGGCTCGCTGAGTAGGAGATGATAGTACTACTGGCACCAAAAGCAACCGACAAACCCTTATGTGGAAGTATCCAAAAAGGCCGCGCGATAAATTCATGGAATACGATATCATTGCGGCATAATCATCCGCATCAGGAGATATCTCGGACGCTCTCGCGATTCCAGGCCGTTCACTACATTAGCTTCACGTCACCCGTGCCGATCACTGAGGCATTTTATGCGAACTGCTGAATACTCTATGCTCCTCTCAGGCTAAGGCATGCCGTATGATTGTGATTATCGTCTCAGAGCCGTGAGGGGAATGGTCCTTCCTGCCTGAAGCGACGCCGTTGATTCCTGAAATTCCAGGAGGAAATTTTCGGCCCGTCACCTGACTGGCTCCCCCACACGAGCCAAAAGTCCATCAGCAATCATCGTCGCACTCGCTGGTCGAGCATCCATCCAGGTCTCATCCTCTTCTCGCCAACTTATAAGTTTAGAGCGTTGGAGCCGTACCCGATAACTTATCGTCCGGCTCCAAAAGCGTTGGGCCCTTAACTGCTTCCGCGCCGATCGTAAGTTGGCCGCCCCATCCATGTCCCTCGCTCCAAGCGTGTTACACTCAGGCACCTCGCTTTTTATCCATACCCCACCGGTCTTGGAGACGTTTAAAGTGCCTGTTCCCCAGACCTCCTGTACATGTATCCATCCATCGTTTAAGCGGGAATCTGTGACACTCGACCATTCCTGTTGTTATATTTCAGCCTGTAAAAAATGTGTCTACAAAAGTACTCATGTTCTTCATACTTCGCTCGACTTCATCTTGCGGCGCAGATCAACATCGATCACGATTAGCGCTGTAGTTGATGGCTAACAAAGTCTCCCCAGATGACATCAGTTTGGTGTACATATCAGCGCGCAAGAGACTTGGGGTACATCAAAATTGACTTTCGACGTTAAATATGGCCAGTACACGTGATTCTCACTCCTATGCTGTGAGTATCCTATGTAAAGGGGAAGAGGTAACCTATCAAGCTAATTCTGGACATACAGTGTGATGAATGCCGGCTCCGGAAGTCTAAGGTAAGCCGCTCCTACGCAATTACTCGGCTTCTAGCTAATCTTCATCGCAGTGCTCTAAAGAGAAGCCGACATGCGCACAATGCAAGCAGTTGAACAAAGAATGCAATTATAGTCCTAAGGTCACCAGAAGCCCCCTAACACGACAGTAAGTCCTTCAATTGCCTTGGGGTTTCAGTACTGTCGTTAAACTCCCATTATCCATGGAACCGATTAATTGCTAATCCTTGCTCAGACACCTGACCTACGTGGAGGAGCGCTTACAGGCCTTCGAAACAGCGTTATCAAGGCTGTTCCCAGGCGGCGATCTGGATGCCACCGTTCGTTCTCTTTTGCACGATCAGGAGGGTCCACCAAAACCTGGCTCCTCGAAGTCCTCGTCCCGGCATTCCACCCCTGCAAAAGCTGAGCCGGACCGGGCCGAACCAGCCCCGGAAGCGCTGCCGCAGCAGGCTGATGGATTCGACTGGGCGGAGAACAAAATCACAGTTGGTGACCTGACAGATGGCATGGCAGCCCTGTCCATTAAACCAGAAGGAGCTGGTTACTTTGGTCAGTGTGTCCAACTGCTTTGCAACACGGGATTGCAAGTGCTAACTGTCTATATTAGGTGCATCTTCCAGCGTTGTGCCGCTTCGAGCGCTGTTGAAGCATGGCTTTGACCTTAACATTCCTGCCAGATCCTCAAAATCAAGTTACGGCATGGAAAGAGTGCCTTTGAAGGCTCAACTACTCAGCACCGCGCCCTCTGGTCTCGTCGAACAAGCTTTCATGGATGCATTCTTTCTTAACTACCATACCAGCTACCCTTTCGTCCATGAGGGTACGTTCCGAGCGCAGTTCTACGAGCAAGTTCCGCGACCACATGGTCAGGCATGGCAGATCCTATTGAACACGATCTTGGCTTTGGGGGCGTGGAGTATAGGTGACGACAATTCTGACCTGGATATTACATTCTATCAAGAGGCGAGAGGTCATTTACAGCAGGTGTCTGTGTTTGAAACCGGAAACCTCACTCTTGTTCAGGCATTACTGCTTCTGAGCAACTATGCCCAGAAACGGAACAAGCCTAATACCGGATGGAACTTTCTCGGTTTGGCGGTTAGGATGGCCATGAGCTTGGGCCTCCATAAAGAATTTCCTGGTTGGAAGATCAGCCTTCTCCAGCGCGAGGTTAGGCGGCGCCTGTGGTGGGGAGTATACATCTTCGATAGCGGTGCGGCCAAGACTTTCGGCCGGCCTATTCTCTTGCCTGAAGACGATGTCATGGACGCAAAACATGTACTCAATATCCACGATGAGGTAAGACTCGGCATTGTGACTATAATCCCCTAATCCGGCGTACAATGTCTGATTCATTCTGCAGGCTCTTACGCCCCTCACTACCGCTCTACCCCATGAGGTCAACGAACCAACCCTCTATTCCGGTTTAATAGCCCAGGCTAGATTTCATCTCCTTACCAACAGTGTGTATCAGCGTCTCATCTCAGGCCCGAGTTTAACGCCAGAGGAAACGCTCGGTCTCCAAAGACCAATGGAAGAATGGTACAATGGCCTTCCTGATTACTTCAAGCAGCCACCCACACCGATATCGGATGCATTCGCTCTTGTCCGCAATCGGTTGATGTGGCGCGACTGGAACTTGAGGATTCTTCTATACCGTCCCATTCTTCTTCGTTGGGCATCGCGTCGATGGACACCAAACTCGGCCCCCGAACCTGAGGATCCGCTTGAGGCAGATTGCAGGAGGCTTTGTCTTCGGAATGCGCGATTGACAATATCATCGATCGCAGATTTTGTAAACAACCACGTCTGCACAAGGATTGGTGCATGGTACATGCTGTATGTCTCCCATGACCCTTTTCCTTGACACCGCTGACATTTTCCATAGATACTTCCTGTTTCAAGCTGGTGTCATCCCGATCATCTTGCTTATGACCGACCCGACAAGTACGGAAGCCCCTAGCTGGCTCCAGGAGATCGAATCCACGAAGAAGCTCCTGGTACACCCTTCTCTTAGCAACAACCGCCTTGCGACTCGTTGTCTGGAAGTTGTCAATCGACTCTGTTCGCCTGCATACACGAGTGCCGCCGCCGATAAGACTGCGGGACAGACAGCACCCATATTAATGCCCTTTTCTGATCAGCTCTTCAACGATCCAACCTTTGGTAGCATGTTTCCGGACGTGGACCAGGAGCTGAATCTTGCTGGCATGGACTTCTCGGAATGGGTAAACTTCCCTCCACAAAACGAGTTTGTCTGAGCATCTGTCAATGCCGAGAGGAGATGATTTCGAGGCTAGAGTCGGTCAAGGGTCATACGTGAATGTAGCGGAGCCTACAGAACAAAAGAGGATGTCACAGCCGGAACTCCATTCCTCGAATGACCCGCTTCTTGAACTGTCACACCAAGCGGAACCCGCTATTTGATATGAAGGCGGAAAATTGCAAGAGATTATGAAAGTTATGGACCCTCACGCAACGTCCTCTTCCTCCTGTGCGAAGGGCTTCACGAATTCCGGGTCGACCGTGTGACTATCGATGCCGCGCAGTTGAGCCTCGATTCCGACAATACGCTGTTTTTCTTCATGGGCAGCCGTGTCACCAAAGATGAGATCCATATCTTCCAGCGTCTAAACAAGTCGTCGTGTTAGCGATGTCAAGTGGATAACCAAAGGCAAACCAAACATACCATTCCACGGGTCTCTGGGATAAAGAAGAAAGTGAACCCGAATGCCAGAAGGCAGAAAGCTGCGAAAAAGATATAGGTACCCCACGTGATTGAGTCGAGCATATCAGGGGTGACGAGGCCGATGATACTAGGTGCAAATGTCAACAATGAGTCATGACAATCTTGGATACAAAAAAGAAATGGCAAAAACAAAGGACTTTCTGGACATACAAGTTGCACATCCAAGTAGCGGAAGTTGTGATAGAAATAGCTTTGGAGCGTATGGATAGATTGAAAATTTCCGATGGCAGGACCCATCCGATAGGAGCTATATGCACATTAGCACGATCCACTTTCCATACAAAGTAGTAGACAAACAAACCAAAAGAGTACGAGAAGTTAATGTCGTAGATATAGATGAATGCGATCCCCGCCCACCCGGCAGATCGATGATGGATGAGATCCGACCCATAGGCCCCAATGATTGCACCCACGATTACCAGCGAGATACAAGTCCCCGTGGCACCAGACATGAGCAACACTCTCCGACCGACCTTGTCGATCAGGAACAGCGCGGGCAGTGTGCTAAGGCAGTTGATGATCCCGTAGACGCCGGTAGCGAGAAGGGAGCTCTATTTGATCGTGTTAGTCCACCAGCTGGTTTTGAGATAAACAGAAGATTTATAAGCGTACGGTATTTCCATCGAGGCCCAACTGAGCGAAGATTGTTGGGGCGTAGTAGATTATAGCTATTTGATAGGTTAGCACATGCCATCTATAACAGGAGGTATATGTCGTACCATTACAGCCCATAAACTGCTGAAAGAACATAATACAGCATCCGATTGCTAGACGCTTGAATCGTGCCCATGTGGTTACGAGTGAGATATACTATTGTTATCACCATCATCATTGACGAGTTAGAATGATACTCAACGTTGAATTGTGGGTATGTTGGGGAAAAGGTGAGGGGAACGAACCTGCGCAGCATGCAACCTGAACCCCGATAAATCAGGAAACCGTTCTCTAGCGAAGCTATTCTCCAGCATAATGGATGCTTTGATCTCGAGGTATTCATTCGTCAGGTCTGGGTTACTGGTTGATTGGCGACGTAGTCTGGATAATGCCTGGAGAGCCTCGTCGTCTCGTTCTTGCATTAGTAGCCATCTGGGGGAGTCGGGGAAGAAGAGCATCCCTATGCCGAGGGTTAGGGCTGGGATGACTTGGATGGCGAGTGGGAGACGCCAGGATGCTTCGGATTGACCGGTGCAGATGCCGTCCTGGGGGATGTCTGTGTAGGGGTCGAATGAGGGCGAGGAGGCGGTGCCGCCTGTGTAGGGAATGTTGGGGGCGCAGCGGGTGCCGCCGATGTAGTTGGTGCCGTAGTCGATCCAGTAGCTTATTAGGATGCCGATGGTGACGGAGACTGAGTGAGTTAGTGGGTGTGGTTGTGTGGTAAAATTGGGGGATACTCACGTTGTTGGAGAACGACGAGACCGCCGCGTATTTCGGGGATGGAGACCTGTTGGGTTGAGGATGAGTACTGTGGTTATTTTGTTGGATGTGTGGAGGAGGGTGTATATGTACCTCGGAGATATACAGAGGTACTACCATGGTTAGTTGGCCAACGGCTACGCCTGCGATTGCACGTCCTGGAGCGTGTGAGCTGTTGTCTGGGGAAAGGTGTTGGGAATGTCAATGAAGTGTAAATGCATACCCGCAAAGAGCATTGGTATATTGACGGCACCGCATTGAATGGCTGACCCGATGACGAATACAACGACAGCGAGGTTGATGGATAATTTGCGGCCTAGTCGGTCCACGATAGGGCCGTTGATGAGGGATCCAAACCAGGCAGCTATGGAGACAGTCAGTGACCGTACGTTCATATGAATGGAGTTATTGGCATGATGAGACATACAAATCAACAAAGTCGACACAAACCACCCCTTGAAGCTGCTGTCCATGTACACTCGTGGAAACCGGGCGCCGAATGATTGCATAGTTATCACACCGGAGACCACGCCCTGATCATAACCGAAGAGCAGTCCACCCAATGTGGAGAACTAGTAGATTTTGAATCAGGTCAGAACATTGCTTGATTCTTCAGAGCTGTATGAAACTCACCGATGCAACGCCCAGCAGGTAAGGGTTTTGGTATATCAGGGCAAAACCGCCATTGGGATTCTGAGTACTGGGAGCCATGACTGCATACTTCTTCAGTGTTAGACTCTTGACGTACAATCCACATATGACCAATATCCCGGGACAGTGTCTCCTTATAACTATGGCCAACTCACCTATGTTTATCTCTTCCCCGCGAAGGAGCATCAAGCTAGAACGGAGAGGTGTACTCCGTCCAATGGACACAGAATCCCACGTTCTGACGACGACAGCAAGAGGTTTAGAAACAACGTACGAGGGGTGTCAACTAGAGTATCAACGGAGTCGGAGAAGAGTACTCCGCAATAGGTACGTAGTGACTCGCCCCTGTCATGACAATAGCATCTAGAGGTGACACCGCAGAATGGATGGATGCGGGGAAAGGTTGAGAGGAAAGCGGAGTTGCTCCGTGGACCCCACCGTGGGGGGAAGAAGAACCAAAAATCGGGCCATGATTAGAGTTGTTGACTGAACATCAACAGTTCGGCCGGTGTGGGTTGTGGATGAGAAGATGATGACTCCTGTCCGATAGAGAAGAATCAGATGACGCTGGGCCATCATGTGATGATTATGGACCGGTTTAAAAATGAATTGTATTTTTGCCCGAAGCAGACCAGTGCAGCCTTAGGATCTAGGTACACAGACATCGCAAGATGTCTATGGATCTACCGGGTAAGCAGCCGAGACCGAGAATATTCCACTACCAGATATCAGTGCGGTTACTAACTAAATTCACAGATTATGTACGGCATTCAGCTCCCTCTTCCCCTCACACGTTCAGATCACAACACGTTGCGTCATAACTCCCCGATGCTACATGAAGCGGAATGATGACTCGATCACTTTGTCTAAGAGGTGGTACAGTCTGCTGTGGTGGCAGTTGTATCTCAAATAACATGAAATGAGGGGTTTTGTCACCGCATGCACGCCGGGTATATGATGCAACAGTCGCATGTGGGATGCTTATCGGCCACGCATTTGATAGGCTTCCAAGCAGCCACCATGCAAGACATTCCTGCAGACAAGGACCGAGGAGGTTTACAAACAAGATGTAGGACTTGTCATCCTTGGTCTGGGCTGGTTAACCCCGGGTGGCATGCGGGAAGCCTTGCGAACCCGCTTAAGCACTTTCTGACTGCGTGACTTTGCAGCTCGGTTATGCCATGCTTCGTTTGCCCACGGCATTGATGCACGCCATCCAGCAGTCGGATTCTAAAAGGGTAAATGAGTGGTCTTATCCCAAGTCTCACAATTTGCACCTAGAGCTGAAGCTAACCCACGCCCACCGAATGCGACGCATAGCATAGACGCTAAAAAGGAACAGACAGGCTGTTGGAGCAATTAGGAATACGAAGCAAATAAGCCACAACCTTGCCGATGCCATACTGATAACAATACGCTTCTTCGCCAAGCCAAGCATTAGGACAATAGCCTCCGTTCACCCTGCTGGAAACCAGACTTGCATATTCAATGGAAAGAGCGTAACACAAATTATTCAGGCGCTAAAGATCGTGGGAAATTCCGGTTCAAACTGCTGCTCACATGGCCGAAAAGGAAGAAGGCAATGGCCTTTCATTTGCGGGAATCGCTAGGCTCCCAGTGGATGGGTTCGAAATCCTGGTTCTGGAAATGGGCTTGATTGTATGGTGAACTACTGCAAGGGTTAGAATGTGGCACCGGCAAGTGCAGAAGGGCGTCATAAGCGGTGAGACGGAGATACTCACTTCTTGAACGGCGTGGTGACCGGAAGGGAGTGGCTGAGGTTGGGTTTCATCACTAGGGGGTTCAACCGGATTTGCGGCCCGTCAGACGACCGGGGCGGCAGGGAACTCATGGGCGGTGGTGGTGCCGACATCCGCGGCGGCGCTGGCGGGGGTGATGCAATAGACATGGGAGGTGATGCATGCATGGGGGGCGGCTGGTACACTTCCTGAGGGGGAGATACCCGGTACGGACTGGGAGGAGCCGCCGGCATCGGAGAGGGGGCCATGCCAAAAGAAGGGTCCATCATCAGATTGGGAATGGTCATCAAACTGGAGTTCACATCGAACGCGAGGGCACCTTGATCCCAGGGGGCATAGTCAGAAGTCATTGCGTATTGGTAATTAACCACGGGTTCCATATTCACAGTAGGTTCGGCTGGATAGAGAAGGTCATAGTGGCCCCTACGGCTATGTTAGCGTGATCCATGGCGCCCATTTGATTAGAGTCTGCGCATCGCAAATGAGACTCACGGGCGGTAAAGTAGGCAGATAGTCCCGCCAGTAGCCCGCGGCGGGGTTAGGAGATGAGGAGTGACCGCTTCACCTTCGCTGCGGTCGAGATACATGATCTCCACGGCGAATCCGGACCCCTCGATTACCCCATCCACCAAGGCTTGGAGGCCTATCTCGTCGATTTCCGTTCTGACCACGTCTATTCGTGTCGCGCAATATTGCTCGAGGGGCATGGAGAGGAAGGCTTCGTATCGAGACGGGTGAAGTTTCATCCAGGCGCTTGTTAGCAGCTGTAGTACGTTGCGTATTAACATGTCAGTCGCAAAACCCCACATCCCCGGTCGATATGCGGGAAGAAAATAGCAGCGCTGCAAGGATCACTGACCCTGAAATGAGTGATGATAGCATTTGAATTGTACTCTTCGTTGAATGCATTGACGAGGAAAGTCTCATCCCGGATGCCGTTTTGGATGGCAGTGCTTATCTGGTTGAAAACCTCCTCTGTTGCATCCACGAAAATCTCGTATAGGTGTTCTTCTTGACCCGTTTGGTCGAGGAGTGCGTTCATCGCCTTTATCCGCACCAATTCATGGTGTACCTGCATTGGATTCTGAAGGTTGAGCAAGTTCTCAAAGTATCCAAATGCAACGGCTACACAGTGTAAGCAAACCTCCATCGCCAATGATACGGGAGTGATTACCTCTCCAACCACAATTTCCGTCTCCTTTCATGGTTCGTGTCAGAGGGTGCGTTATAGCAAGAGCCTGTTGGAACCACTGTGAGTCACTTCGGCTCCCACTTCCGGGGGGTTGAAGGAGTGACAAGTGAAGGAGCGTACATTGGTCTTGGTGGCAAATGTCGGATCCGCATTTGCATACTCCATAGCAATGACGCTACTGGACTGTTTCGTAGACACTGGAGGGCCCTTCAAATGCACGTGTGAGCCGGATAGTCTGGACATGGATCATCAAGTCCCTTACCTGAACGTCGGGTTGAAACTCATTGGAGAGTTTCTGGAACCTCTCCATTTCGGCGGTCGAAAGGGTGTTCATGTTGAAGATAAAATTGTTGCCTGGATGATAAAGGGCGTTTGAAAGTTGCGAGTATCCGTGATCGAAGAATGCGGATGAATGAGGGTGTTGAGGATAGAAGCCGGAAGTTGAATCCTGGTTGATAGGGTCGAAATGGTTCCAGGGAAGATCCGACAGGGACATCGCATAGAAAGACGTGGGATATACGGCTTCAGGAGCAGTCGCTTAGGGATGGAGAAGTCGCCAGAAGCCTTTCCTTAGTAGGGAGACAGGACCTTTATTCACTTAGCGAAGAACATGATGGAAGAACGTAATACACACGAGACAAATGAGCATCGTTTGAAACAAAGTTCTTGTGTGACACAGTGATGACCAGCCGGCTGGGTCTATTCACTGATGTAACCGACCTACTATGTGACGTCCTTAGCATATCTCGTAAAGCCGGTAGCCGTGCAGAAGATGTAGGAGGGCTGTTTCTCGGGAATTCATCCGTGAAGAGACGAACAGACTCAGCCAATGGTGAAGAGAGAAGCAACTGATCTACCAAGGATGTGGGAAGGTGCTAGCAGAGATGATGAACCAAAGCCGGTTGCCAGCCGCAGAATCACGTCCACGGGATCCGACGCTGGCATTGGAAAGGCAAGAAGGATCAAGACTCGCGGGACCGAGGTACCAAAAACAGGATGGAGGAATAGAGGATCAAGATGAGAAAAGGGAGGGGCTGACATAGCCGGGGAAAGGGGAGGTCAGAGGCAGCTGAGCAGGCAGAGACATAGAGTACGCAATCATGCACTTGGCTCGAGGGATGCGAGAGCCAGAGATGAAAGAGCATCTGGCGATGCTGAGTGGCGCGCAAGGCCACGGCCTCTGCACTCAATCAACCCTCCTTTACAAGAAAACTTTCCAGGCCGGCGAACGCCAGACAGAATGGGGTGGAAAAGGATTCCCACACGGTTGACATGCCAGCACTCACACGCCTTGCATCTGATGCGCTGGGAGATGTAACGGATGCTACTCCATCGTCGATTGGGTGCCTTTGGAAGAATTGCAAGGTACCCGGAACGCCACTGGGATTAAAGATCGGGGTGGGTGTTTGATGGTCGGGGAGAGCCAAGACAGTAATGATGGATGCAGAGAAAGCCGCAAGAACGAGAAATAAAGGGATAAAGAGGGGAGAAAGTGTTGGGTGGGAAGAAAGGGCAAAAGCGAAGGAATGGGGGAGAGAATAGTACAAAGAGAAGCGGGATGCGAAGGTAAGATAACACAAACCGGCAAGGTGATGTCAAAGCCCATTGAAAGGAAAAGCGTGGTTGGACCTACTGGAAATCTGCAACAAAGCTCTCTCACTCTCTACGGCTGAAGTGCATACGTCCCAGGTGTGTCACATGTGCCGTGGCATCAATGCTTGGGATGCGTCGGTGAAAGTGGCCGATGGAAATCGAAGGGTGTTATACTATGCCCCAAAGCGGTAATGATGATAGACAGTCCGTCGCTCTTCGGAATGGCGGGAGATCCAGTAAGATAGAAGTGGTTTTTTGTTTTGAGGGGCAAAAGGGTGAGGAAAGTGGGCGGGCCAAAGTGTGGGCGGGAAACTGTAAAGTGTGGGAGGGGGAGGGTAAAGAGGACTCGAGGAAAAGGCTGAACGATGGATTCTGGATGGTCAGGGCGACCGGCTAATCACTTGACGGGAAAGTGGAAGACAGGATGATGGATGATGGATGATGGGATGAACAGATTTAAGGTAGGGGGAAGAGAAAAAAGACTGGTAGACCGAGCAGGGATGTGGAAGAACCTAATAGTGGTGGTAGTAAGTAATGTAAGAGTACTCCGTAGTAGATAAGTAGACGGATAATAAGATAGATAGATATTGATGAAGGGGGGTGGAGGGAAAAGGCAAGTAAATAGAGTGTCAAGACAAGACGAGTCAAATCAATGCCATATCCCGAATATTTTTAAAACCCCGAGGTGACCCAGGGTTTAATAAGGAAGAAAATTAAGCAGCCAGCAATGGAAGGATGGATGCGTTCGTGGAGAATGGAGAGAGAGAGAGAGAAAAGAGAGAAAAATAAAAATAATAATATTAATTCGAGGAAAAGAAAGGCTAACTGACTGACTGACCTTCAACAACAAGGCCGGGCGCGGGGTTTCCGACGGGGTCGTTCATACATACATACAGTCCAAATACAAGTTCGGTCAAGTCGGTCTGCTTGTCACGACTCGCTAGCGGATGGATGCGTGCTTTGCTTGAAAAGTGTGTGTTTCCATCAGCATGGATAGTCCAAAATTATTCAAGTCGGTCTCAATCAACCAGGGTCATTTTATTCCTTTTTAATTTTTTTCACTCATACAAAAATAAATAGATTATTTTTCTTTTCTTTTTCTTAATCACTAATTTACGCACTCATGCACAATCACTTCCACCCATCACCACTTCTATTGCTATCTACCCCTAGAACAAGGCAGGCGGCGAAACTATTGTAATAGTGTTGAACGAAGCCTCCGGGACCGGTGGATGGAATTGGAATCCTGGAATGCACGGGTGGACAAAACTGCCGGAAGAAATACTAAACCATGACGTTTCGAATGGTTGATATTCAGGCCAGCAGCAACCGAACCACCAAACGATGCAAGACATTGCTGGTCAATCATCCTCACAGCGTTTGGATATCAATGATCGGCTGGACTTGCTTTGTAACTTCAGGGCGGTATCGTTTTGTTTTGTTTTTCTGCTTTAAAAACTGGCCCATGCAGGAAACATCAACGTCTACAAACGAGGACTGACCTGACTGACTACTTTTTTTCCATCTCCCTTTGTACTAGTGAAAACCAAACTAGGCACAACTACTAGTTGACACAATAATACAATGCCAGCGAACCGCCAATAACAATCTCTCACTCAGAAACAGAAACAAACTAGGCTCACAACATCATTCGACAACAACACCTAAGAAGGAATAAAAGGAAAATAACGAAAATAAGAAGAATTATAATGATTATAATTTGCTAATTCTCATCTACTATTTGTGTGGTGGGTATAACTACCGCCCCCTCTTCGGTAGGGTAAAACAAAACCTCACCATCGCTTGACTTACAGCAGCACAAGTTGAAAAAGTGCAGCGGAAGAGCCGGTTGGACGGGGACCCAATGGGGATGATCATCGTCTGGCGGTCATCCCCATCCAGTGCAACAGTCGGAGGTGGTACTTGCTCCTGATTCATGTTCGACGGGATGGGATTGGATCCATCCACCCACCCGTCATTCAGTCTGTCCATCCAGCTGGCTGAAGAAGTCCTGCTTAACCCACCTCACGCTGGTTCTCATCTACTCCGGACATACTACGGGATGATCCTCATCGGCGTAAAAATAGAATAAAGGAGAATTTGAGGGAAAAACAGGGCGAGATTTACCCATGGAAGGGAAAGGGTGAATAGGGACAGCCGGGGCATCCTGATTGATAAGCCAAGCTGTTTAATAGTTACAAAAAAGGAACATCTACATATGGAGTACATAGGGAGTATATCCCCTTACTACTTACTTCTTCACGAATTTACGATGCCGTAGATACCATCACGAGGCAAGGTGGTGAACGAACTCTGATTGGCTGCGAAGGTTCCAACCCACGGGATCAGTCCGGGTGCTCAGATCGCAGTCCTTGTAGGGTCGGAAATGGGGTTTAGCAATCAAAACGAGATGTAAAAAAGACAAAATACCTAACTTTGAGGGGGGTGTCGTATTCTCCCTCCTAGCATATTGCCGATGAGCGATCGATGATAGTGACGATTATGATGGTGCTGATTAGGGAAAAGACAACGACGAATAATAACTAAACTAAATAAGTGAAGGCGTGAGACAACCATTGTAACATGCCAGAGAACAGCCATAGGCCAACCATCGGCCACACTTCCACTCATACTCATACTTAATACACGCTCTTCCACACAACTCATTCATCTGCCGCTGGGGGAGCAGAAACGAACGCCCGATCTCGATACAACCGATGACCCCTAGCTACCTGCGCCTCTTGATCCTCCATGCACTCGAGAACGGCCACATGTCCTGGCAGGATAGCCGACAAATCCGCTTGACTGGCGGAGTAGCTGCAGCAGTGCCGGTCTAGCAGAACGACTAGTAATCTGATTAGAGCAAAACCATTGTGGTTGCTTGGAATCCGAGATTGACTCCTGCCTAGTCAACTATCCCAGAGCTAACTCGGGCGAGTGGGAGCCGGTCTCAACACCAGTCTGTCTTAGCGCTTGCAGCTGCATTTACGGCCGACGAACCTGCCCTTGTCTCCACGCACGCGCCCTGCTCGATCCAACACCGCTGGACGGTGTAAAAAGGGACAAGTCATTCCCGGGTAGATAGCTTGTCGAGTTTATTTCAATTTAATTTATCGTCCATCCGCGCACTGCTACCAGCCGTCTTGCATGCAGAAGCTCCAAGTGCGGAGTCGGAATCTGCGACAAGACACGGGATTCCGCCGGTGCCTCACTGCTCCCAGTGCGCGCACGCTCTGCTGTTTTCTCCCTCATTTCCCTCATTTTCCCGGTCTAACTCTCTGCCCTTGTCTCCGTGGCTTCGCTGTCTCGTTGCTTCCTAAGCACTAAACTTCCACGGCCCCAGCTTGAGACATATCTCTCAAGTGTGGATGGTTGTTGTTGATGATGATGATGATGATCGAGGTGGTGGTGGTTATGGTGATGGTGGTGTTGGCAAAGTCTTATTTCTCCTTCACGTATCACTGCTTACTTCCGACCACAACGTGTCTGTCGGTCTGTACCGATGAACATACTAAACGATCTACTAAACCACTGACCTCTCCCTCTCTCTCAAAACCCCCGGACAATCAATCAATCACACGGTCAAATTCCATCCCATCCTCCCCAATCCCATCACAGTTGACCGCCGCACGGATTTTGTACAGTAAGGCCTCCAACCACCACACCGGGACCGCAAGAAGCAACGGGCGAGCATCAACGTTGATTGCACTGGTATCTGACAAGGGGATCAGACCACCGTAAGATGGTAAGACCTCTGGTGCCATCCTGTCGGTGTGACTAGCCATCCAGTCAGCCCTCCGGATTGTGACCATGGCCATGGACAAGGATCGTAATCAACCGCGTCTCCTACCGCATGGGGAGAAGGTTGCCAAAACCGCATCAAATGGCCCGAGATGGCAGGCT